AACATGAAAATCACTTCGCACTTGGGCTGGTAACAAAACAGACTCAATATTTTCACAAATAAATCTATAATAAAAATACTTTATTAAAAAAAATCTGATTTTTTGTGTATGAAAGACTTGTAATCTTTACTAAAAGTGTACCAAATTTTTTTGCATTAAAAATTTTAGTATAAATACTTAACTCATGTATATTATACCATGCCTGTCGCGAAAGGGTTAATGTGCAAAAGCTAAGTTATTGACCTAAAAAATAGTTTGAAAGATATCTGAAGTAAGATAATTTACTTCATATCTCTTTGGTCATCCAAGAAATGAATGTAGGCTTACAAGAAAACCAAACCACCACAGTGGGTTGATTAAGTGTACTGTAGACTTATGGTTCTCCTACATTACCATTCAAAACTTGAAATAGAGACATTTTAAGTTTTAGTATCTGAATTTTTCAGTAATATATAACATTTTTTGGAATTTGCTTAAGAAGATCAAATGATACATCAAGTCCGAAGTTATTAACATGTTGGTGAGCTAATTCTCTGCTTTGCAGTCTTTATAAAAATAAAAAAAGCATGGCCATTCTGAAGAAATCATTTCAACATTCACTGTTTCCCTGAGTGTGTATGTGCAAAGCTACATTATATAAAGTTGCTCCTGCAATGTTAGGCAAAACCTCTCCAGTTGCATTTGTGTGATATTGACTCATTTTAAACCTATAACAGATATGTAGACTTTTATATTTATAGCTGGGCAACAGTCCATTTAAAATTATGTATTTTTCTTCTTGTGATTGTACGTTAAGTATTATATCTATATTTTTCTTTCTATGATTGTACGTTAAATATTTCATTATAACTAAGTTTTTCTTCTTATGACTCTACGTTAAAAATTTTTCCTTGTATCTGTGTTTTTCTTCCTTTGACCATTCATTGTAGTAGTGCTAGAATGGTATTGTGCAATATTGGTTTTGACCTGTAAAAAATGAATTATTTTATAATTAAAGGAAAATCGTATAATAAACATTGAGTGATAGTGTTATTGTATTAGTCTAGTAGATAAAGTTTTATAGTCAAAGTCATGGTTATTCAAGTCTTGAGATTTTCTGACAGTCAATTGATCAAATTATTCTGTTCTACAAAATGAATAATGTAACTTTTAGTGGAAAATTTAAATTATGCAATTTTACTGAATTAAAATATAGAGGGTGTGTACACATCTATATTTGTTTGTAGTTAAGCACAAAGCTACACAAAGGGCTATCTGTGCTCTGCACACCACAGGTATCAACACTCAGTTTCTAGTGTAATAAGTCTGCAGACATACCGCTGGGCCACATCCATATTAAAATACAAGTTGTTTTAGTTTGCACAATGTTCATAGTATTATAATTATACTAGCTGACAATTTTGATGATTATTTCATCTTGTATACTATTTCATAATTGAGATCTGAGAACGTAGCCACATACTTTCACATAATAGAATAAAACTAGCTTTAACTCAAAATGTTTATAATGCTGAATATTGCCACTTGATGCAAGACATGTATACAAAGGTGTAACATCAAACATATATTACAAATAACCGTGTAAGAAGCAAGTATAAACATTTTGTGAGAAACTTAACAAACTCAAAAATTTTAAGTATGTACTTCATGTAAAATATAAGAAAGTATGGTTTACATTGTACTAATTTTGTTTATGGTAATGTTGCACTTTTCAAAAATAATATTCTTGCAAGATAATAAGCAAGCCATTAATCATTCTTACTATACAGACTGATTTATCAAGCATCAAACAAATGAATTGTTTAAAATCTGACTCAAAGCATATCACACTAATATGTGTTATTAATTCCTGTATAAATGGGTTGTAGGTTATATCAATTATCTTGAAGTAAACTACAAGGAGATGTCAGTTTAACCCTTTGACTGCAGCTGCTTTAAACACATGTAAAAGTTTTGTGAGCCGTACACAGCACACTCGCATTCAACTACTGGAGGCAGACCATACTCTATACGGCAAATCAACAGTCAATGGGTTAAATGTGTATACAGAACAGTTTAGAAAATCTATTTCAATTATAACTTAAATGAAAATATTTTTTCCTGTTACTTCTGATATATGTAAATATTAATGTAGATGTATTTAATGTTCAATAAAATTTAAAATGTTGTTCACTTAACATGTGTAAGTTATTCATATAGTGTTAAAATTTAAATTATACTAGTGTTACTACAAAGGTTGCAGCAGTAATATGCTTATTTAGTTTTGCTTGGTTATTCAAAAAAAAATGCATAAAATAGTCTTGTAAAAGAAGAGAGGTTGGTCAATGGCCTAATTTTCTTTCATACAACCATTTCAAATATTTTGGTATTTTCAAATATTAATTGTATTTGTTTACTGTCTGGTGATTATTGTACATTAAGTTAAAACAGAACCACTACATTCAACCATTAATTAACAAACTAAGTCAGGAATTGTATTTACTCTATATTTTTTGTATTGACTGGCAGATAAATAAATCGTACAATATTTTCAAATATCATATTGAATCAATGTAAAAAATCACATTTGCAATGATCTCTTGAATGACTAAGAGAAATGGTAATACACTTAACACCCAGTGTATGAGTCAGGGAGACATTTGTAGTGGATTGATTTCTAAACAAAACTTTTAAATACTATCTTTTAAATTCTGAATAGAAATTTTAACTCCTTGCAATATCTGGAACCTGAATTGCCCACCAGCATTTTATCTATTATATTTGCAAGTTCTGTTGATAGAGATGGCTAAGGAAGTACTGTGGCATGTCTAGTCTTTATTATGATGGTTTTCACTCAGAATTGCAGACAAATACTCTAGTTTTGGTTGTAGGAACTAGTCTGATATGTGAAGGATGAGATAGCAGTAGTAGTATTAACAGCAGTTGTAGCTGAGCAGCATGACTGGTGCAGCAAATGAGGGAATACAGACCAAGTAATGATTTTATCTCTGTTTTAAACAAATCAGGATCTAATATTCATAAATGCTTTTTATTTGACTAATTATGGTATGCCAGAATGAACACTTCCACTGGCAGTAAAACTATTTTTACTTAGGTTAACAAATAGAATTTTTTATTGGAGTACCTCTCAGTAGCCCACCCAGTCCCTCAAATTTGATTTTGCAGTCACAGACTGGGTATTAAGGAATGAAAAATCTTGTATAAATATAAGGTACAGATAAGACCTGAATTTTTTAATTACTGCAGTGCTGAAATTGAATGTGTTCATAACAGCAAACAAATGACTTTTCATAAAAAGATAACTGGCTTGTAGTAACCTGGAAAGAGCTTTAAAGAAGAAGTCTAACTTGGTTTTCCATTAGTAAAGTTTTTTCTGTGACACTATTTCATGGTATCATATACTCCAAGTAAAGATGTGCTGATGTGAAATCAAAATTCCCACACATTTTTCTAACTATAAAATCATAATTATTAAACTTATAGAGAGTTAGATTTTAGAAACCTATATTATTAACAAGTCAGAATATTATACTGTAGTACATGTTATCATGAATTGTGTATCATCATGGATAAAAGCCATTGTTGATCTATAACTAATGTATCTGTGAAAATTTAAGTACAAATGGCTATAAGAAAAATACATTATTAGTAACATGTTGCATGTGTTTTAGATCATGTTTTGCTTAAACATAACCAACAAATACAGATTAGTTTTATCAAGTTTATGATTGACTTTGTGTAGTACATGTACATATATATTCAGTGCAGTTTGGAAATGGGTGTATTCCTAATTTTGGTTATAGTAAATAAGAGTACAATAGCCTTTCCTAAAACGCTTATATTGAATTAAATAAATAATTAATTTCCAAGCAGAAAGATTTTGGTCCAATTTACATTTAGTGTTTGATGTTTACTATTGTTTATGACATTTCAAAGTTTTATATATGTTTTTATGCTAAACAGACTTTTGTGTATGAAGTTTCAAAGCTTTGTGGATGTTTTTATACTAAAACAGAGAATGATGTGTTACACAGCTTCTGATTGGATATTATAGAATGAAACTACTTTTACATGACATACTGAAAACCTGATTTTTGAACTCTTCTGATAGCTGTATGATTCAAAGGCTCACAGAAAAAAAATAAATATTACCACAATTTGTCTTTATAACATACGTTAAAGTATTTATGGGGAGGGGTAATCTTTTCCTGAAAATAAAATCATATGTTTTTCTAAAACAAATTTTGAACAAAGTTTGAAAACACAGCTTACTTCTCCTAGACTATGAGCCCATAAATGCTCAGAAGGTTGTCTGAATTAAACTAAAGTTAATGAAACAATAATGTGTAGAAAACGTTTTACAAAGAAATTTGCTTTGCTTGGCTATTAATATAAATTCTTGTATAATATAAGAAAAATTTAAACACAAAGTTCATTAGAAAAAAATACAGAAATGGATAGACTCGATTTTCATGTACTGGCCATATCCAACTACAGTTTGGAGTTTGATGGAGTATTCCTCCTTGTCCATAAGTACAGTGGCATTACCTCTCTCTGCTGGTAAAATTGTTATGGTGTTCTCTTTACATGTATGAGGGCAGAGTTTTTCTGTTAAAGTGGTATTAGAGTAGGGTTTACATTTCATGACATTATGGATTGCTGACTTAATTTGATTCTAAATTATTCTTTTCTTCCTCTGGCAAGCTATATCTGGAGAAGGTATTTTATTATGTGTTCGGGCAATGTTTATTTCTATACGTGGGACATCTCTTTAGATTCTGCTAATGGCATTTTATCATTAATGTACATTTAGATGTGTTTGTGATGTTAGGTAGCTTCTTATCTTGGTAATTGCTGTGTGAATTTAGTTTTGTTAAATTAATTTCCTTGGTATGAAGTTTTAATTACTGAGTCTATGTTGTCTTAAATTATCTCTTATGATATTAGACCATTAATGTTAGGCTATATTTTGTGCTTATTTATGTAGTTATAGTTGATCATATATTGGAACAATGCTTTATTAAATTTCTGAGTTACTCTTTACAAATTATATTATGTTATTTATTTTTATGAAGGAAGCAAGATAGTTATCTATTTTAGGTAACTTACAGTTAAGTCTTTCTAAATTCCTTACAAATTCCAAAGCATAACCAAGTCAATAAGTACTTACAGTAAAGTTGTGACCATCGAATGCTAACATAAGTCTTAATTATTAAGTAGTTACTAATTCATCTAATTAGTAATTAGATGCTAATTACATTTTGGCTAATATTCTCTTCAGAGAAGGACTGTGTGGTGGCTAGTATTAGTATGTAATGCACTTTAAACAAGTACTCTTATCCGTTTCAGTCAAATATAAGCACATGCGACTTCACTGTTTATTTACATTTATTCTTGCTTTTTCATATTACTTAGTTTTTACTGCTTAAACATTTTCTTTTTTTTACACATCCAACTGTTTACATGGAAAAAAGTAATCTAATAAACCTGAATTATATTTAATCAACTCTGTAAGCTATTCCAATATTATATCATGATTGTGAAGTTAATAAATTCTTCTTTCTACTTCTTGGGTGTTGGTTCTGCTTTCTTCTTTCGACCAGTCATCATATACAGAGTTATTAGAGCAATTCCAGCATAAGTAGCCTTGGCAACCTATTAACAAGTTTTAAAATATTTTTCAAACAGCCTTTATATTCACAAATTACTTCAATAATTATACTATATATATATATATATATATTGTAACAGCATCAGTAATTTTTAGCTATTGACCAGAGGGAAGGCAGCCAATCAGCAACACCCTACCACCCATGCTAAGAGATTGACTGCCACTCTTATAATGCATCTACAATTTAAAGTATAGGAAATATTTTGTGGTATTGCTTAGATTTGAACCTGGCTTCCCAGCTGCAAAATATAGAGCTCTTCTACAGGTCCAACTGATACCCCCTCATCATTAATACACACACCTTATATGATCTTATACAGAAATATTATCAATACATCCTGTGATGCCAGATTTACAGATGGTTAGACTGAGATTTTATATTACCATTGGTTATAATAAATGACCTAATGCTATTTTTTAAAACATTACTGCTTACTAGATGACCTTTTTGTCTCCATTTTCTGAATATTAAGTAGTATTTTGCAAAGATTTATTAATTTCTTTACAAATACTGTCACTTTAGTCTTAAAAACACATTTAATGATTCAAATAATATAAAAGGTAAATGTTTACATTTTAGAGGATTAACATATCAAATAGATTGAAGTGGAAATAACTTACATTTGCTCGCCCTTTCAATGTCTGTGAGTTAAAATACTTTGACAGACCTTTAAATTGGGATTCTTCTGCATGAGCACCTCCAGCCATGACTACTTGACTATATTTATAAAAATATATAGATTCTTGTATACTAAAAAGAAATGACAAAGATACTGTTTTATAAAAATCATACTAACATCATAAAGGAACGGAAATAACACTGTATACGGGTAATGCATCATCATGAATTAGTAATTTTTAGGCTCTCACTTTACTTTCTCATCTTTTTTTTAAAATTTATTGGAAGAATTTAACTTTGATATTTTCTTTCTTTTAATGTTCTTCAGCAGGGAGGAAGTTTCTTGTATTTCTGACTTTGAGAATTTTTTTGGAGGAAATACTTTGTAAGTGTGCAATATCAGTGATAATGTAGAGCTCATTAACAACAACAACAAAAAATAAAATAAATTCTAGACTTAATGATGTTAACCCTAAAGTTTTAAAAGAGGTTATGTACCACATTTTTGGGGTACTTGTTTTCATTTTTGGTAGGACATTAGCCAGGTGCCAGAAGATTGTAGGGTGATTAATGTTACTCCAATTTTTAAAGAGGAAGATAAGCACTGTCCAGAAAATTTTAGGCCAAATTAATCTTGCTTTAAGGACGGGAAAAGCATTAGATGTCTGCTAAAACGTTCTTTGTAGGATCATTTCATGAAATTCAAAATTTTGTTAGACAACCAATATGCCTTTAGAAGGGGAAGATCTTGTCTTACTAACCCATTCACCTTTTTCTTATGATGCTACTTCTTATCTGGATGAGTGTAAAGGAATGAATTTCATATACTTAGATTTCTTTTCAGAAAGCTTTTGATAAGGTACCATTTAAAAGACTGATGATAAAAATCATCTCACTTGGAGTGAGGGACAGGTTAGATTGATGAAGTAAAAGTTACTTTAATGGAAGGAAGCATAAAAGTTCTTATTAATGGAGGTCAGTTTAACTGGATTAATGTTAAAAGCAGTGTGCTTCAGGGATCAGTGCTGGGACCATTGCTGTTCATTTTCATTAATGAAAACAATAGGGGCATAAGTTCAAAGCTTTCTGATTATATAAAATGTTTAGGTCAAGTTGGATGTAATGTAGATGCTGTGATTTTACTTGCTTAAGTGAATAAACACATTACAGATGGCAATTGTGATAAGTAAAGGTTATCCATGTTGGTAATTATAAATTACACAAATACTATAGGTTATTAATTGCATGCACGAGGAAAAGGATTTTGGAGTAATGGTTGATACAACTGTTAAGCCTTCAATTCAGTGTCATTTTACACATAGTAAAACTAACAGACTTTTGGTTAATATGATGAATATTAACTAAAAGACTAAAGAGGCTATTGTTTCACATATCAGTCAATAGTTAAGCCTTATTTGTAGGAGTGTGTACAGTTTTATTCCTTTATCTTAAAAAGGACATTGTGCAGAAGAAGGTTCAGAGAAAGTATTTTATTTTTCTGGATATAGATTGGATGTCAGATGGTTATAGACAGTACTTGGTTAAGATCTTTTACTTTTTTTCTCTCCTGAAAAGAGAAGGATCTGGGATAGCCTAATTTAATTATTCAAAATTATTAAGGAATTAATAAGGTTTGTGCATCAAATGTTTTCATGTTGAGTCCTGGAAACAGGAGGATAAGAGGTTTGGAAAAGCCAAATGCATCTCGGACAAGGCAGTTTTTTTTTACAAGTAGGGTTAAAATGGTAAAGGCTATATCTTCACAGGAGTTTATGAAAATGTTTGATGAATATTTGAGGATTATTTTTTGTTACAGTAAGTTGGGAGTCAGGACATCATTCATGTTTCATAATTTATAATTTTTCTGATCAAGTGCAAAGCTTTAAAAGTAAGATACATTTATTTCATTTAGAATAAAATTGTAATAACTTAAGTTACATTATTACTTGAGTGAGCAGGTGATAAAATATAATAGGTTACTTTCTCTAAACATATTGCATCAAATACTGCATGATTTATAACACAAAAAATAAATATAAACAATATACTACATAACTAGAACAGTTCATACAAATTTGCAATAGCACTACTCAGATAAAGGAATGATAAATAAATTGATTTTATCAATATTAAGGTATAGAGTTTGCTGACTGTAAGGAAGAGGATGCTGCTTTACAAAAGAACTTAGATCCTTTGGTAATTGTGCAAATAACTGGCAGATGGGTTTTAATAATAATAATAGTAAAAAGTAATGATTATAGGTTACTATAATTTAGATAGGAATCACCTCAATAGTATTATTTAAGAAAATGATCTTGGTTGTTAGTGGTAGGGGAAAAATAAGATTTTGGGTTGTATTTACATAAATAGTGAATACAAGTCTAAAGAGGTTATTTCATTGTATAGGTCACTGGATAAGCCTAATTAGAGTATTATGTTCAGTCTTGGGATCCTTACATTAAGAAGAACATTGAAGTATTGAAAATAGTTCAAAGGAGGGTTACTAGAATGGTACCTGGAATGGAAAGGTTACTATACAAGTACAGGTTCAGATTTCAGAAAAACATTTTTTTTTAAAAAAAGAACAGTTGTAGGGGATCTAATTAAAGTGTTTAAGACTGTTAAGATAATTGAGAGTATTAATGCATTATCTTTTTTGTATTTTATGGTGAGAGTGGAAAGAAAAGGGGGCACAAATATAAATTTTGGCAAAGTGAAAGTCATCTTCAGCTCAGTTTTACTTTTCTAATGGGATAGTTGGCCTTTGTAAAAGGTTTCTTTCAGATGTGGTGGATACCATAAGTTTAAGGGAAGGTTTGAGGTTAGATTTGAGTTGTTTTTTTTTGATAAAATAAAAAAGGGTAAAAGTAGCTGTAATAGCATCTTCCTGTCCAAATTGACATTAAATAGCACTAAATACAACATGTCGTATATCATTCAATCACTTCAACTCTCCCTACAGTAATCAGAAGAATTTTTTTTCAAAACCTATTAGCTTTTTTGTAATATCAAAAATTATTTTACCTGTACCATTTTACATCTCTAAATTCCACACATTGTGTGTCTCTCTTGATTACTCCAATTCTTAACTACAGTAATCATAAATAATTATCTCCAAAGCTATTAGTTTTTTGTAGTAATAAACTCTCCAGACCAGCATATATTTGTTTGAAAGGAGCAGTTTCTATCACTAAATGACACATCATTCAAGTACTACAATTCTCCTCTAATACCACAACCAACCAAAACCCCACAGACTAGCACAAATGAGGCAATTAACTAACATAAGAGCTGAGTAATTAGTGGAGTTTGATAACCAATTAATCATCAGCCTCATTAATCAGCTATATTCAACTAACTAATTAATCTCACCAGATGGGAAAAAAAAAACTTAACAGCAAAGATTGGGCTTCAAATAATAACAGTGAACAGAGCACACACTGTGTAGCCTTTGTGTTTAACAAACATAACAGCAATATTCTAATTATTTGGATAGATGGAATAATAGAAATATTAATAATTGTAAAACCTAATTTCAATTCCTTGATTATATTCTTGAATCATGATGCTAAGTGATAAAGCTGAACAACTTTAAATTGATCAAAAATAATGAAAAATCATAACAGAAATATTTTAGATTACTGGATTGTTGGAATAACTGATAATGGGAATAATCTGACTCGACAATTTTGATTAGTTCATTATTTCCATGCCATTAATCACAATACTGTATAGATGGAGTAAACTAGAACATTACCTATCTGAAACACCAGTTTATTATTTTTATAACAATAACAAATTTAGTCATAATTTTGATTAATCAATTATTTTACATGAGAATGATGTAATCAATGCCCATTAGTGATTGAGTTAACCTCCCAGTTCTAACTTTGAATGACACATTTCATTGTCACCTGATTACTCTTCCCTACACTAATCAGAAAGAAGTACTTCCAAATCTATTATAGTTTTTCCTTAAAATACACACATATATATAAAACTCTCTGGGCCATCATATGTATTTGCTTGGAAGATGCTGTTAATTAACAGTTGCACATCAAACAAGGAAGAATTAAAACATATAATTTTAAAGATACAATTTGAATAATATAACCCAATAACAATTTGTTGATAATTACATTTTTAAATGTTTTTATAGCATTAGTTTCAAACAACCAATATAATAATAATATATATATGCATTAATTTAGTTGAAAATGTGAACTGTGATATTCAGGATGGAAAACCATTTGTAAAATACATTCTTATATCACTACAGAAGAACCTGATTGTTTTATCTGAGACATAGTCTATACATACTCTTTATTTTTATATATATTTAATACTTGTCTGTTAACATACTTAACATCATTTTGGAATAAAGTTTTTACACGTGATTGTTCCAGGTTCATTTATATGCACAAATTCAAGGTGGTACCAATCTTGGCATTTCCCTTGTCAAAGCACTATTTTGCATATTCTAAATTATTTTACATGTAACACCCATGAAGCACATGAATCATACAAATTTAAAGTACTCTGAAATTAAATTTGACTGAAAAATCACTGCTAAACAATTGTGTTGCTGAAACAAAATTTAGTTTCTTACTTGAATTTGAGTATTTATTCAAGATGTTTTGTTGAATGATTGAAACAATTCAGGGATAATATACACCTCAGATAATCTAATACATAAAACCATAATCAATATTTCAAGCAATCAAACGTAGACGCAGCTGTGAATACAATGCTTACATCTGAATAATTAAACCTGAAAAATACATTTAAGTCATATCCGTGATCAAATCAGACTAATTTTATTAAGTCATTTTATTTTAGTTTATTAATATTGTTTTTGAATATCAAAAGTCTAAACAATATTGTGGAACAATCCAAATGTTTAAAGGCCAGCTTCAGTTATTTAAGGAAAACCATTTACAAATGAATTCAGTAAGAATTAATTTCACGATTTACTGGTATTGTCCTATTTAATGCAAAAGCTCTTCATTATAGAAGGTCAAGTAATTGTTTAAAAGTTGTATTTCTCAAAGTGATAAACTAATTTTTGTAAATATGTAAGAATATGAATATGATTCCTTTTTTTTTTTTTTACCTGGAGAACAGTAAAAGCAGAAAAAAACAATTTTCATCAAAGAATGATTCCCTTTGATTTTAAAACTTTTGTCCAGGCAAAAAAGTATGCTTGTCTGCAGAGGTTTATCTTTATGTTTTTTTTTTACATTACAGAATAGTTCTGTTTGAATAGTATAGGGAAGAACTGCAACATTCAGGCAAATATATGCTGGTCTGGCAAGTTTTATCTGTTTGTGGTATTACAGAAAAATAAAAATAGATTTGGAAATAATTATTTTTAATTATGATAATTTGTACTATATATGACATGAATTACTTGTTAATTAAAATAGCGCTAAGTAAATGTAAAATGTAAGTAATTTAATTAATCCATTTCTCCCTTACACAGTAAACAAAGAAAGTTAATTCCAAATCTGTTTTAGTTTTTTCTGTAACATAAAAACAAGAACTAAAGATTATTTGCAAACCTATTATAGTTTTTCTGTAATGTTAAAAACTATCTAGGTAAGTATGTATTTGTCCAGATGGGATAGTTAAGTGGCATGTTTGTTTGTTATTGAGAAATTAAGAGTCGGAGTTCAAAATAAAAAAAAAGTGTATG